AAAGATAATTAATTCATAAAAAGGATTCGATGAATGTTGTATGCAAAACCTATAACAACAATTTCGAATATACCAAGATAAGATTGTATCTAGTGAATGAAGTTCATCAGATATGTTTCTTGTAAAACAAGGTAAACATGAATTTTTTTTCTAAATGTTTAATCAAATGCTATGAGTATTATTCTCAAATCCGATGATTGAGACAAAAAATATGAGATCTTCTAAATCCTTGTGCCACTCTTCCTACAATAGTACCTCTTGGATATGTACCATCATTACACTTATATATAGATCATTTTGAGACAATGTTGTTTGTGATGGTACGAGGGGCCAAACAAAAGTTGCAAGAATTGTTCATAGGATTCTCTCTCTATATATTTGGTCGGTTAGATCTCACACCTTTAGACTAATGAAATGGACCACAAAGCAAGTATACAATACGGTCTAATGTCGTCTTTCCAAGTAATAAAGTGGTACAAGTATCGGATTATCGTCCACGGAGATTGTAGCAAAAGTTAAATGAGAGTCCAATAAAAGAGATGATTTCAGATGATGAATTTGAAGACTTTTGTTTGATGTTAAGGTGATTCAAAATAGAAAACAGAATATAGAAGGATAGCAAGGGTGTAAGACTTGTAGTGAGACCCAAACACAACTTCCAGCAGCCAATGTTATAGGAATGCTACAGCAAGCAGTGTTTCAGAACTTAGTTCCACCATCTATTTTGAAGGTGTTCCTCTCGGACTTCACTATTGCACTATATTATAGCTTTCTACCCATATCTCTATGTGGTGTCCGGACCAGGGATAGTGACAAGATGGTGTCTTCAAAATATATGGATAAACAAATCTCTTTGTTAAAAAACACTCTCTCGAGTCGATTCCTATATCATTCGAGTTGGAGTGTGTTCTGGATAGTTCATCCTAAATCTATCGTACTTTGACACTTTCTAAGAGTGACCAACCCGTCGAGAGTTAAATTTGAAAGACATAAATGACAAGTCTCCTTGTCGGCACATGTCTTCAAAGTATATGGATAAACAAATCTCTTTGTTAAAAACCACTCTCTCGAGTCGATTCCCATATCATTCGAGTTGGAGTGTGTTCTAGATAGTTCATCTCTAAATCTATCGCACTTTGACACTTTCGAAGAGTGACCAACCTGTCAGGAGTTAAGTTTGAAAGACATAAATGACAAGTCTCCTTGTCGGCAACTTTCTCAAGTCTACCTCTTATATCATTCAAGTTGACGTGCATTCAATGGCTTATCTCTAAGTCGATGGCACTTTAACACTTTTAAAGTGATCAACCCGTCAAGAAGTGTGATTGGTTTTTATAAAAACTCGAATGAAACAATGGAACGTCGTTTATGAAAACACTTAGCTACTTTATTTTGGTTTGAAAATCTCACATTTCCATCTCACACCCAAGCTATAAAAGCTTAGCTACTCATAACGGAAAGTAAATGACAATTAAAATAAATGACGGAAAGTAAAGACATAAATGTAAATTGCGTAAAATAAATGACGGGAAAATAAATGACAAGAAAATAAATTGTGGAAAGTAAATAACGGAATGTAAATGACTATAAACGTAAAGGAGCGTAATATAAAGAACGAAAATTAAAAGACGATAAATTAAAGATGAAAAGCTAAAAGTTAAGAACTTTGTATTTCTTCAAAAGTTACTACAAATCACCCTTGGAGAGGGCTGATTTTAAAGCTTAGATGATGTTAGATGGTATGCAAAAGTGAAACTCAAGCCCTTCTTTTATACACCAAGGAGTCACTAAAAGACAAAAATTTTATCCAAAGGTTAATACCCAAAAAGTACACAAAAAGCATCTAAAGTACAAGTAAATCTTAAAAAGTTGTAATCCCATATTTTAATCCAAAGCCAACAATCTCCAGTTGTCTTCCACAAAGCTCAAAAAGGCAGCAGCTTAATCAATAAGTTCTCCAAAAAGTCGTGCATGTATCAGATCGCTGCTGCTCCAATGTTGTAGCATCAAGCTGTTAAACAAAAATCTCCATTAGCTTCCTCCTTTGAGTACCAACAAGTTAACCACAAGATTTAGCTCCATAATAACAAAGATATAAAGAAAGTAATGAAAATGACTCAAAGTAGGGATAAAAGAAAACTAATCTAACTAATAATAAGTAAAACAAGTGCTTTATATATTGAATTCTCAACATATATCAATATTTCACAAAGTGCTCTTCCTTTCCTCTAAGGGGTTGGAAACCGTATCTAGCATTTGAAAAGGAAGAGGATCTACTCTAATGGCATTAGACGTCATCTTGATTCAGTATATTTGTGTAGATAACGTGGAGGCAACGAGATGTGTTTGTTGCTTAGATTCAGGGTTGTTGCTTAGACTGGTAAAATTTTAAAACACCCATCCTACTCTATTTTGTATAGATTCTTGGAGGAATGCAGTTAATTTTGGATGAATATATGGCTCCCGTATTCCATCATTTTTGTATGTTTTAGTGTGAGAAATACTCTGTGAGTTTTTCAAATCTATTCTTTGATTGTTTTATATTAGAATTAACCAATCACTCGAGACCAATGAAGGCATACATATTTACAAGATTATGATAACAAATCATGCTAACTCTAACCACATCTCCTTAATAGAAAAAACACAAAAGGAACAATCATGATGGCAAAACATATGACAAATAACTAATAGGAGTTATCACATTCACAAAACTTGTCAATCTTGCCAAGCCTGAAGCACATTCAATTTCAAAAGAACATCTTTGAAGTTACTTCCAATCCTTTATCATCCTTAAAAAAATCATAGATTCCATGTTTAGTTTAGGCCTTTGTATATAAAATTTGTATGCCATTTCAAAAACATTGGTTTAGGAACTTTCTAGGGCACCGTAGGCTTGGCACTCATGCCACATATACCAAAATATTCTTATTGGTTTAGCACGATCCTTCCACATCTTAGCACATTTATATGTTTGGCACTGGTCGTGCCACATTTAGTTATGAAAGTGCCATCCAAGTGTTGGTTCAAAGATTTTATAAGTGTTGAAATCTAAACAGATGGTTAAGGGTTCTGAAGATTAAAGGCAGACTTTGTGAAACAATTTTTTTGTCCAAGTACTAAAGTCTGGATTTAAGGTCTAGAGATCTAAATAAGTAGAGTCAGAGTTCGACTGAAAGTTTGAATTGCCTATTCAGACTTTGGTACTCGAAGGTTTATCTTCAAATCAAGTATGAAAGACCATGATGATATTCAAACATGTGTCTTAAGCTCATTTGTTATTATCTTAGAGTCATGTACTTTTAGAGATGTCTTTTGTATTGTTATTAAAGCTTTCTAGAGAGTTTGTTAGATTGTAGATTGAAAGTTAATCAGTTGTAGTGTATAGAATATTTCTCTCTCTAGATTCTCTTTCGGTAAACTTGTAACCATTTGAATATCAATGACAAATGACTTCTAAACCCAATTTGTGTTCTTATCTTGATTCATGGCTGTTTATATTGATTACATTACTTGGTTAGATCATTTTGAGGTCCTATAGTGATACATGGCACTAGTAGAGAAAATTCCACAAAATCTTTATGCTTGTTTCGCACCAGTTTAGTAACCTTATGCTCTATTTCTCCTTATTCATCTCCCTTAAGTGGATTCCTTAGGATTATACTTTGAATTACAAACAATTTCAAAGCTCATTTTCAATGTTCACCTCGATCGTTCAGTATGCAACTAGCTTCTTAATCTTTGTAATTGATTGGCTAAAAACATTATAAGTGTGAATACGACCTCAAATAATCAATTTATATGAATGTTTCATGTTCTGTTGGCTCGAATTATTTGTGTTTAAACGTTGCACTCATAAATCCCGTAAACACAGTTGTCATAATAAAACTCTGTAACACCCTTAAAACCACAATAGTGGCGGAAAGAAATTTAACAAAAAACATGTTGAAAATTAGCATGTTTTACAATTCCAAACTCTAATGGATTATATTTCACAATTGAAAACCACGTGCAAGAAAATATCTCATTACTGAAACGAAGCCTATCATGTATGACTGTACCATAAAAATGCATTATGACGATATTAACATGTGTCACATTTAAAACCGAGAAAAACACATATTTTTCACTTTCTTTATTTCTTCCCCTTCTTAACTTTTTGACCATATTCACTCTCCTTGATGTTATTTCATCCAAAATTCGATTCAACACATTTCATAAATATATTTACTATCCGTAGTTAGATATAAAATTCATATTCTATAACTTTAAATCTAGTTATATACTTATTTCGCATTAAAATGAATTCCATGGTTAATTTCAAACTGTTACAGTCTTGATTTATGGATTTTTATATAACCGTGAATATTTGGATCAGTTTACATACACCATGGCTAATTCCATGGGACTTGAGATTAACAACCAACCAAACAAAACGGGCAATATGAGAGATTATTTGATTGTTTTTTCCATTAAATCTTGTATGGATAAACTTAGGGGCCGTTTACCAAACACTTATCCGGTAAGCGCTTATCGGTAAAATTTAACACTATCATTTATTTACCGGGTAAAATTTTAGTCCACAAAAACGGCATCGTATGCAACAATTTACCCGGTAAGCGCTTACCGTGGTAAGAGTCGTCGTCTTCACTTACTGGGTAAGACTCTTGATCCTTGTCTCGCTCTTACCGGGTAAGATTATTGGTATTTACCATATTCATCAGATAAGGTAATGTGACTTGGTATTCAATTACCAGAATAAACGTTTGGTAAACTGCCTCTTAATATCTAAATTAACATGTGTATGTAGATTACAACAATTTTGGTTTAGGAGGGTTTTTTAATAAATGAAATTAATATTGAGAGAGAGTTTGTTACATTTTTTTCAACTTAACCCGAAACAAAAAGCGAAGGGTATATTTGTCATTACAAACAAGATGGTGCGAAAGTGTCATACGAAGGGGGAGGCACAAACCAGAGGAGAAACAGTCAGATAAGTTGAACACCATAAGCGCCAGATTCATATAAATGGCAACTCTCCCCAAATTCGGCTCACCTTTTAGTTTCTTCTTACTTCTTTAATTGTGGAGCGTTAATGGCTGTCACGTACATGTGATTTGTGAGGTACGACTTTTCTCCTTTCTCTTTTCCCCAGGGAAAATAGTGATTTTTGTTTGAGATCATGAATCTGTGTTTTTTGAATCTCCATTGTTATCCGTATTAGATCAGATTCTTGATTTCGGACGTAAGTTCGAGGTAATTGGAATTTCGCTGTATCTACATTTTTGTGCGTCATCTGTGTGTTATTACTGATTTAATTGTTGAATTCTTGTAATATTTTAAGTTGTCACGAGATCTAAATCATCTGATTTTCAAATGATGATTTTTCATTGCGAGTTTTAGGTTTTGAGTACTTGAATACTGGTTGAATCTGGTTTCTTTCTTTAAAATTTTAGATTTAGTGTAGTTAAACATGAAACGATCTTTGTGAATTAGCGACATTTTATGCATAGGAAAAATTATTTGGAGACGAATTGTGGGTTCCATGCGCATTAGTCATTTGTATTATGCATTTATGTGTCTCACTGTAATCTTTGGCACTTGGAAACTGCAATATTCTATATTGGACATCCCAATGTACTTTCTTAGGAAAACGAAATTGGAGTAGTTTCTATTTGGGGACGTTGCAGCATTTTGTTTGTTGTCCACATGTTAATTATAGTAGTTTCTGTTTGTTGTGTTGCCAGTATATTTGCAAGCTAGATTACTCGTTTATCTGTTGCAAATTGTTGATGGTAATAATTTTGGTCCATAAGATTCTATAATTTTGTGATTGCAAATCGTATGACAGACATTTGACTAAGCTTGAATAGTTGAGCAAGTGGGGACGAAAATGCAATTTTCCCCCTTTTCTATTTTGAAGTTGTGACTCCTTTGGCTTCTAATGAAAAAACTTGTATCATAAGAAAGAATGGCGTTTATAATTTTGACTGTTCATCAATGAGTTCTTGCAATCTAATTTCTTGTTCGTGCAGATCTTTTAAGATGCTCATTTTGTAATGAAAAGCTTGACTTTTTCTCGACAACATGATCATAATGGATTCCCTTTAGTATGGCTACGCACTCTGAATTTGATATAAAAATCCTGTGCCTAATGTTCCTCACTGATTTTCGCATTAGCATCCTTATGGTGTGGCTTCGACTATATTCTTGAATTATTGACTGCAAAGATATGAACACGGAAATAGGGACAGGGATATTTTTCATTACTTGAAAATCCACAAATCCTATATTTAGAAATTACGTGAAAAAAGTTTTATGTGACAATGTAAAGAAGTAAATGTCAAAGCATGATTGGATTTAAGCACAATTATGTGTTTAGTTTTTGCATGTACTGTATATTATGATAGCATCAATCACTCGAGTCAAATGCATAGATGTTCATAAGGAGAGTAAACTAATGGGGTTCAGCATATTTTCACACACGATGTGTGTTCAAATTTTGACACATTCATATCTTGTTGTCGGTAACGAATTGGAGACTTAAATCTCATAGAGTACTGAAAAATCTTTTGTTGGTTTGACACAGTTTATCTGGAAAAACTTGAACCATTCATGGAGCCTCCTGTAGCAGCAGAGGTAGAAACCAAATCTCAGGAAACTGATGAAACAAAAGTCAGTCCTAAAAGCTATGAATGTGGACTCTGTGACACTGAAGTTGTCTACAAGATAGCCCAAGAACTCCTCCCAGGATTAGCCTCAGCCTGTGTTGACAACACAACCGGTGGCATTTTCAAGAGTGCTGGTTCAATAGCTGCTGATATGAGAAAAGAGATGGCTGATTATCTAACACAAAGAAGCGAGAGTTATGTAGCTGAATTCTTACTGAATGAAAATGCCTCCGGCATAGAAATATCTGAACACCCTTACGATATAATCATTAGCCTCATTGATGATTTTGCTGCTTCTAAAAGAAATATGTTTAGCCGGGTTTCTGAGTGGGTTTTAAGCGATCGAAGAGAAGACAGGATTGATGATTTTGTACAGGAAATGGAAATTAACGGTTTCTGGTTACTTCCTCGAAGAGAATGTGTTTCATCAATGTTGCTTAAGAATGTTGATTACAAGAATGCATTTCATTGTAATATGGTGTGTAGCTCTGAGGAAGAAGTTGCTGCGCATAGATCCGAATGCAAGTTTAGACCTTTGGATTGCATGAATGAGGGATGTACAACTAGGTATTGTGCTGCTCAGAAGGAGCATCATGAAGCGGTTTGTCCGTTCATGATACTTCCATGTGAACAGAAATGCTCAGATTTTGTTATGAGGCGCGAGATGGACAGGCATTGTGTAACTATTTGTCCAATGAAGCTTGTAAATTGTGCATTTTATACGGTCGGCTGCCAGTCTAGTATACCGCGGTGCAATGTCCAACAACACAATGCCGACGATCTCTCTTCCCACTTGCGGTATATTATTCGAGCCGCACATAAAGAAGCAACTGATGAAGATCTCAAACATAGAGTGGAACAAATCCTAAATGTGAGTTACTATTCTCTTCTCATCAACAAGATTATGACTTTTAGTTCTATATAGATGAGAAAGATCTAAGACGCTGTTTGACAACCATATTTTTTCAAATCACCATTCTTTTTCTAACCCATAAGCTAGATTTTTTTGAAAAACTACTTCAGATAACAATGTCATTAAGCTCGATAGTTTTATCATCTTTTTACAATTATGACTCTTACATTTTATGTAAAGCACTAAAAACTTTCTAGTTTTCAGATTATTTTACGTTGTCATTTAGCTTATCAACTAGTTTGTCGGTTTGCTTGTTAGTTTGCCAAACATGACCTAAAAACATGGTTACGTGACAGCTATCGAATACCGAAAAGTTGGCAAGAGCACGGGATGCAAGAGCTTTGACATATTTGATCAAGGATGCTGAAGCGAAGCTTGGGCCATTAGAAGTCGAAGGCAAGCCAGATTCTAAAGAGAAGAATACAAGTAAAGAAGATAGCAATAAAACGGAATCACCCACAAAAACTGAGCCATCAGTCAAAGATGGGTCTGAATTAGAGCCACCACCCAACAAAAACGAAATGACTGAAAAAGTTGTGGAATCACCAGCAAAAATGGTGGAAAGCAAGGAGTCATATTCTTCTGCAGGGGAAGAAGATGAAAAGAAGAAAGGATCCAGAGAAGAAGAGAGTAAAGAAATAGCAGCCAAAGAAGAAGATCCTATAAAACAGGAACCATCTCACAGCGACCAAGAATTAGAGACAACAAAAACACCACCCAAAAAAGAAGAAGAAAGAAGCAGCAACAAACAATCATTCAGCAGTGATGAGCAAGAGTCCAAGAAACCACCGAAAGAAGACGAAAGCAGCAACAAACAATCATTCAGCAGTGGTGCACAAGACACGAAGAAATTACCCAAAAACGAAACATCATCCAGAGGAGGTGAAAAAGAAGAAGAGGCGAAGAGAAAAGAAAAAGTCAAAAAGTCATCAGCACAGAGAGAGAAAACAACCGGAAGTGATGAAGAAGAATCCATGAAATCACCATTGCCATCGGATGCGGAGAGCTGGCATTCAGACGGGTGATTCAGTCAAGCAAATAATAGATACAGAAACAAAATATACAAAAAAGAAGAAGAAATGTTTTAGGCATTGATGGTGTATCAAATTTATGACTTCAATTATTTATTGAGTTGTTGGTACGATGTTTTCAACAAGTTTCTACTTACAAACAAATAATAATAATAATATAGTAATAAAGAGTTTTGAGTCGGAGTATACAAAAATGGTTCACAGAACCTTGGTTATTATAGTATTTCCACGATCCACGAACAAAAGTTGTTGTAGAATTGTTTTACACTTTGGTTATGTATAGTTCATGGGGTGCATGGAATTTCAGTGAGTTCGAATCCTGTATTATTCTTTTGACAATTTCAATTTTTTTGCTTCTGTTAATTTTTTAAAATGGATGAAATTCTTTCGATTCTTTTGAATTTCACATATAAATCATTTCATCATTCTTTCATGTAAGTTGATGAAATGAATTCTATTTCTTGACATATGTAACATATTTTGTATTTAAACGACAAAATTACCTTGGAATCCAATTTAACCAACACCATTAACCCCCAACCTACTGTTACCACGTCACTACCATTCACCGCCACAGCCACCACCCACCCTACCCTACCGCCATCACGACTATGCTACTATGTATTTGTCACATTCACATCCCCACCCCTACCCTACCCTACCCTATCCATACCAGGGGGCGACCCACTCGATAGCATATGCCATCACATCACTTCGTTCCTCTATAGTGTAAAAAATTATAGGGTACCCTGGGTGCGGTTCAAATACTGTTTACGCTATTTTCTTAATTCTTTGCTTTTAATTCCAAATTTACTATATTTCATAAAAAATTGTAATAGAAGACTCCAACACAAGACCTCATATACAAAAAACAAGAAACCAACCAGTAAACCAATAATAATTCTGTGAAAATATCCATATCTTCGTTTCCTATAGTCAAATGATGTAACCACTTGAAAAAATTTCTAGGTCCACCTCTACCCCACACCCCCACCACCATGCCACTGCTATCACTGTCACAACCTACCTTACCTTGCCCCAACATCGACACTACCATCTTCGTCACAAGCACCACCCTTACTACCACCACAACACTACCATGTTCCTCAAAGGCACCACCTGACCCCACCAATTAATATTATAATTATAATTATAATTTAAGCACAAAGTTTTGAAAATGTAATAAAGGGGTATTTTGGTCATTTATTGTTATTTCATTCGAATTACGAAGCTACATTCTACCAAACAAACATTGATATTCTAATTCTTTTGAAAGATTCAATTCCAATTCCTACCAACCAAATATGTTGTCAAATTCCATTTCAATTCCTTCAAAGTCAAATTCCTTCCATGGATTCCGATTCCGTCAAATTTCATTAGGCAAATCAAACACCCCCTCAGATGCTCTTCCCATTCCAAATCCTTCCACAAAATCTAATTCCTCAAAAACATTCTTTCCATCCAAACCCCCTTTAGTATTTGGATTTTTGTGGAAGAATTTGAAGTATTTGGTATGTTTGGTTTGTAGGATTTGGAATAGAATTAAATTCCATTCTTGATAGACAATTTATAAAAACAATTATAAATAATAAAATTGCATTTTATTAATGAGTAAATTACAAATTTCGTCCATGTGCTTATATAGAAACTGTGGATTGAGTCCCCCAAACAAAATAATTACATGCATCATCACTGTGCTTTCAGTTTTTGTAAGGATTGGGTCCCCACCATTTCCTCCTGTCCTTTATATCATCTCTAACTCTGACCCATTTTTTGGAATTGCTGGTACAAATATAAGCCATGTCAAGCCCTCGAAACCTGCAAAATATATTCTTCTTTTAGTAATCTACACACAAATTGAGTATCGAAAGCCTATAGCTCCAATATCCTTGAAAGGGGATGAGAGTGCATTGATTAAAAACAGCTTCGTCTGTGATGATTACGAGCGACCCAAGGTGTCATACAATAAACTTTGCAACGAGATTCAGGTTATCTCACTTAAAGGTATCAGTAACATGGATGGCGGGGGTGGTGTTGGATCTTGTAAGGCAGAGATTTGCGAGAAGATCGTGAATACCTGTGAGAATTAGGGATTTATTAGGTGGTAGATTATGGCCTCACTATGAAACTATTATTGGAGATGACGAGGCTCACCAGAGAGTTCTTTCTGATGCCAACAGAGGTGAAGCTCCAATTTGATATGAGTGGCAGGAAAAAAAGGGTTCCATTGTTTCGATCATTTTCAAGTAAGAATTACTCGTGGTACTACTTACTTCCGTTTTTCATTTCCCTCTCGCAGAAACTGTAACACATCTTCTCTCGTCTCTCTTCCTCATCACCATCAATCTCTAAATTGCTATTGTATCTCAATCATTTTCCCTATTCTGACCGTGGAACATCATTGTCTATTTCTTCTTTCTCATAAGCTCCCCCTTTGCCACCACCTAGCAACACCTTTCCCATTGTATTTATTTCAATGGGTGTTCTAGACTTTGATGAGACTGACTAATTTGAATTAGAGCTCTATTTACAATTGATTTATAGCTCGATAGCCAATGGATTTTGAACTAATTCAAAGCTCGATTTTGAAAAAAAAATAGTGTGGTTTTGTGTTTGTGTTCAAGATTTAATCGATTCAATGTGTATTTGTGGATTTAACTGTCAATCACCATCTCCTCTCGGGAAACCCACGTCCTTTAGTAAAATCTGAAATATGTTAGTTTTTAGTTATAAATCTTGATGGATATTTTTGTAGGTTTAAACTTTTAACCATGCTTCAATGGTTTATTTTCTTTTTAGCAATTTGTATCCTTTTGAGTAGAGATCCTTCTAGGGATCATCATGTGTATCTTGATTTAATGAGATGGGAGAGGTATGTGGTGGGTTACTAGTGGGCTGAGAAAAGGTACGAGGGCCAAAGATGGTGGTGGTTGGAGAAGGAGGAGGCTGGAGAAAGTGTTGGCCGTATTAGAAACTTGAGTTTTCAAGAAAATCAAAGAACATTTGAACCAAGTTTCTTGGGACATAAGCTTTGTATAGTACAGAGGCTGTGTACGAGAAACTTAAGTTTCAGAAAAACCAAATATTGGGATCAAGTTTCTTGGGACAGTAGTAAATACAGAGGCTCTGTATGAGAAACTTAAGTTTTCAAGAAGACCAAAGTACATTAAACCAAGTTTCTTGGGACAGAAGCTCTGTATAATATGTACAAAGCCTCTGTACAAGAAACTTTATGTGTTTTCTAGAAAATCAAGGGATGAGACCAGAGTAGGGTTTTGAAGATATGAGATAGAAACATACCTGTAGAGAAAATATAGAGACTCATGGTTGGACTATGCAGAGTCTACACCTTCATAAAGTGATTTGATGAGGTTGAAGCTCTGTATTGTACATATAGAGGCTCTGTATTCTTGGAGATCCAAAACTCCCCCTACAATGAAGAAATATGTTTTCCTCCCCCTTAAACTATGCTTAGATCAAAGATGATAAGATATACTTATGCTACAGTTCAAGGTATAGAGGCTCTATATAATATATACAGAGACTTTGTATGACAAAGTTAAAATATTGACAGAATTGGACCAACAGGCTCAACATAATACATGCATAGGCTTTGTCTCATTGTGATAACTGAGTCTTGATTATGCACCTAAGGTCATTGTTATGTGATTACCTGATTATATGATCACGTGAATATCTGATTAATTGCTATAATTGATCATGTGGATACATGCTTACATGAAATTAATATGTGAGTGTGTGTATATTTTTCATGCATGGAAAGCATGTATATGTATTATGCATGAAAAGTTATATCTATGCATGGGTATGCATGGGTTTATCATATGGTTTATATGGGGGGTGTGTGTGTGCGCAAATTTTTATTATGCATGCATGGGAGTTTTAAAGGCAGGAATTATTTCATATGGGGTGCATGTATCTGCATGAAATGTGTATGCATGTTCAAATGCATAAAATACTCCTTCAACCGTCTTCCCTTTTAAGGAAGGGTATATAAATGAGGAGAGATTGGAAAGTTAGGCTTTCTGCCATTTTTAGAAAGTTGAGAGAAATCTATGTGTTGCTTGCTAATTTTGGAAGTCTAAAAATCATGAAAACAGATTCAAAGTGCTATTTTCTCTTCTCTCAAATTAAGAACTTGAAAGGTGAGTTTTATTACATGCAAACAACTCATTTAATCTTTCATGGTACTGGTTTTACATACAAATTGTTGTTGTTGAATGAATTTGGCTATATGTGTTCTTATAAACTTTATTGTCCGATGAGGTTTTGTAATAGGAAAATATGTTGTCTGATGATGGCTCCTCACCAGCTAAGCCTTGGTCGATGAAGAGTTTGATGACTTTAAGTGTTGATCGATGAGGTCTCTTATCGGACATAGCCTTGTCCGACAAGGACTCTTAACCGGACATAGTGTTGTCAGGATAAATATTCATTGCCCAAAGTGTTATGAGTTTTTATGTTTAAGACTCCTAAGCTTTAACCGATTTGAGTTGGTTATTGGACAAGCCTTGTCCGGCGAGGATGCTCATCGGACAAAGCTTTAACCCTTTAACTTTGTTAAGTGTTGACCGGTGAGGACGTATCTAGGCAATGTGTTGTCCGATGAGGGTGTATCCGGATAGGGTATGATCGATGAGCATGTTTACCCTTTTCAAGTGTTGTCCAGATAGTATTCTCCGGATAGGGTTGACCGATGAGGAGGGTTCATCGGCCATAATATTGGTTTATGAAGGAAATTTTACCCAAAAACTTGTGTTATTTAATGATGGTATTTCACAAATATTGTTTAAACAGTTTTAAACTGTTTTATATTATGAAAAGGTATATTGTATCTTTTAAATGAGATATGTGAACCGAGAAAATATACTATGTTTTCTTTCAAGATGTGTATGTGACATAAGTCTGTTTTGAAAGGAATACGGATTTGAGAAATGTTCCTTTCAGACGTGGTGACATAAGTCTGTTCTGGTATGGAACTAGGTTTCTTCCAGACGTGGTGACATAAGTCTATTCTGGTATGAAACCATGTTTTGATTTATCAAATGTTTTTTCCAGACATGATGACATAAGTATGTTCTGGTATGGAACATATTTTAAATGTTTCTTCGAGATGTTGTGACATAAGTCTGTTCTGGTATGAAACTATGTTTTGGATGTTTCTTCCAGACGTGGTGACATAAGTCTTTTCTGGTATGAAACTATGTTTTGAATGTTTCTTCAAGACGTGGTGACATAAGTCTGTTATGGTATGAAACCATGTTTTGATGAGAAAACAAGGGTGATATATCAAGGAGAGATGTACCATGGGATAAGGGTGGAATGTCAAGGAGAGGTGTACATATGGATATAAGGGTGACATTTGTGGGTGTGTTAATTATTGTAACTCTTGTTATTATATCCATAAGATGCGATAATTCTAAATCAACATTTCTCTGTGACTTGATGACTTAGAAAATATTGTTCTTATTGAAATGATAACATTGATGTTATTGAGAAGGGTAAAATGGCTTATAGCCAGAGGCATTAATTTTCATGATTTCAAATGATTTTAAGGTATCATATTCTGAGTATTTCAAAGAGTAGTGATTTGAAATAAAACCCGGAGGGTCGTCGGTTATTATTTTATCAGTTCTTACTTAAATTTAAATTAAAGGCTTTTGATAATAACCAAAAACTCTAGTGGTTGTTATTTATTCTTATTATTTTATAACCGTGGGGATTGAGACCATAAGCATGGAATCAGTTGTGACTGGTGAGCTTGAGAGTTGTATTTCAGATGTCTGTGAGAACCTGGGTGGTTAATCTTCTTATGTGGTAAGATTATTTTATAACTTGCAGTTTTGTTTATTGAAGTTATATTTGATATAAAGTGGTTGGTTATTTTAAATGTGGATTTCAAACAGGTTCTGGTGATTTTCACCGTGTAATTGCAAAACAAGGGTATCTCACTAGACCTTCTAGTCTAACCCTCATTTTGTGTTTTTAAAATATGTATTGCAGGAACAGATGGGTCTCAGGATATTAAGGGGAAGGGGAAAATATGATTATTTTCATAATGTGCTTATCTGATGTTTGAAGACCAACCTGTTGACTGACATATTTTGATAATACATGTTCTTATAGATGTGATAGTGCAAGGATATTCTTTTCGAATTTTTGAATTGTAAATTTGAAGTTTTGGGTGTTACAGAAGTGGTATCAGAGCCTGAGTTTAAGGGATTTAGGTATTTAAAGCATGATGCCTAGACTTAAACTGTTTTATTATGCATATTAAGGGGTCCCGGACGTAGATAGTACCACTGGAATAAATATGATGGTGTTAAAGAGGATAGTATGCAAGGTAAATCCGAATTACAAATGGACAATGTAATTATGAATTTACAGGTACCTATCTGTACTCAGATACCTTATTATATTTTGGAATCTGAATACGTGATATTTAATATTAAATATCTGCAGATGGCAAGTCGATCAAGAAGATATAAAAGGGTCACCCGCCCCAATCCAGAAGATAGAGAGGATTCTCCTGATAATGCTTCAACTAATGTTTCTGAAAGTCGAGGCAGAGAAGAATCAGAGGCAGAGGCCAAGGTTGAGTGAGAAGTCAGGCCAGACGTTGAACTAGTCAGACTGAGATTCACCCGGATCAAGAAGAATCTATTTCGGGGAATATTAATCAAGAATAGGTACCTCAACCAGAATATATTACTCGGGATGTTCTGGATGAATAATTGGGTAAGTTGAGGGAAACTCTGGTATCTATTTTGGGATTACCGGCCAGAGTTGAAACTGAACAAGTTGGGATAAATCCTCCACTTCATGCAACAAGTAGCAAAGGGAGAGACATAAAAATGTTTTTAAAATGTATACCCCCAACATTCTCAAGAGAAAAGGATCCGGTGAAGGCAATGTGCTGGGTAAAAGAGATTGAATCAGTATTTAATACCAGTAAATGCTCTGAGGAATACAAGGTTATTTTTGTTGTTTCTATGTTAAAATCTAACGCCTTATACTGGTGGGATGTAGAATCATTGGACAAGCCTGATATTCTATGATCCATGTCGTGGGGAGAATTTGTAAACAGATTTATAGAACAATCCTGTCCCAAGACAGCAGTGAGGCAGATGAAAGAGGATTTCTTAAAGATGAAGCAGGGCAACCGATCCGTACGGGAATATACAGAAAATTTTATTTAACATTTTTGGTTTGCGGAACATTACATTTCCTCTAAGTCAAGAAAAGTGGAAAGGTACATCTGGGGTTTGAAGCCTCTCTACCAGAGAGTTTGTAATAGCAATGAATCCTCCCACATTCCCCTTAGTTGTGGATGCTTCTAAAACAACAGAGAAAAACAAGAATCGGTAGGGAGAAGAGAAAGTGGTGGAGAAACAGAAATAGTAAGGGTCTTCAGCCGCTTGTCGAAGACCCAAGTTTGTAAAATTGGATAACCGACTTGTTCAATAATCTACCGTTAGAGCTTGTCTTCGATGTCATCAAGTGCATCAAGGTAACTGTCAACTTGTACCAAAAAAGTGTTATCGGTGCGGTGAGTTGGGTCATTTGTCAAAGGATTGTCCTATATCGAAAAGATGTTTCCAGTGTATTTCACCCGATTACATCCGACCGAATTGCCTGCAGTTGAGAGCCCCACGATTGATTATGAGAGGGAATACCCCAAGTACTCGTGGAAGGCCGAACATACCAAGAGGAGGACATGGAGGGGCACGGGGCTGATCTTTTTAGATGACGAAAAGTGAGGCTGAAACAACGCCAGATGTAGTAACAGATACTTTTCTTGTTAATTCCATATATGCTAAAGTGCTACTTGATTCTGGTGCGAACTTTTTTTTCATATCACCATCATTTTATAAATGTGCATGTATGAATTATGTTCCCCTTGACAGCATATTAGTGGTTGATACCGCTAATAGTCAAGTATTTGTTACATATGTGTTTAATAACTGTATGATTGAAATTGAGGGGTGTGAATTGCCGATTCGTCTATTTCCTATGCTGATGAAAGAATTCGATGTTGTGGTGGGAATGGATTGGTTGGAAGAGAATCAGGACAGTATCTTGTGTAACAAGAAAATGATCAGTATTAATTTTCCAGAGAGAGGGCCAATTGTTATTTATGGTGATCGGATGTCATGGGTATCTGGCCTATGTGATCGATTCAAAGAAAAAGAAAGGTAAGAAAGAGTCGGTTCTGGTTGTCTGTGATAAACCAGAAGTTTTTCTGGAACATTTGACTGCTTTACCGTCTGATAGATCTATTGAGTTCAGAATTGATCTAGTACCTGGGGCAACATCAATGGCTAGAGTACCGTATCGGTTGGCGCCGTCAGAACTGAAAGAGTTGGTCACTCAGTTGAAAGATTTTCTTGACAAAGATTTTATCAGATCGAGTACTTCACCTTGGGGTGCTCCAGTTCTGTTTGTCAAAAAGAAAGATGAATCGATGCAGATGTGCATTGATTACCGGTAGTTGAATAAGCTGACGATAAAAAATAATTATTTACCAAGAATCGATGATTTATTTGATCAACTGGTGGGAGCCAGTTACTTTTCCAAAATTGATATACGGTCAGGATACCATTAGTTGAAAGTCAGGGATGAAGATGTTGCTAAAACTGCTTTCTGGACCAGATACGGACATCACAAATTTTTGGTTATGCCTTTTGGTTTAACCAATGCTCCTGCAGCTTTCATGGATCTAATGAACCGGGTATATAGTAAATATCTCGATAAATTTGTTATTGTGTTTATCAATGATATTCTTATATACTCGAAATCTGAAGAAGAACATGTTGAACACCTTTGTCTAATCCTTGAACTGCTAAAGATAGAAAAGTTGTATACAAAATTGTCCAAGTGTGAATTCTGGTCAAGAGAAGCTCAATTTCTGGGTCATGTCATATCTGAGGCAGGAGTGAAAGTGGATCCTACTAAGATTGAAGTTGTAGAAAAATGGGATTTGCCGAGAACTCTTTCTGAAGTCCGTAGTTTCGTGGGGTTAGCAAACTACTATCAGAAATTTATTCAGGATTTCTCCAGAATCACTATACCATTAACTAACATGACTCGGAAGAACATCAAATTTCAGTGGGAAGAGGATCAGCAAAGAGCTTTCCAGTTACTGAAATATCGTCTTTGCTGTGCTCCGATGTTGTCATTGCTTGAGGTATCTGAAGACATCGTGGTCTATAGTGATGCTTCAAAATTGGGTTTGGGTTGCGTATTGATGCAGAGAGGAAAGGTGATTTCTTATGCGTCCAGACAGTTGAAAGATCATGAAAAGCAGTATCCAACGCACAACATGGAACTTGTAGCCATAATTTTTGCTCTGAAGATTTGGAGACATTATTTGTTGGGAACAAAATGTCAGATCTTTACAGATCACAAGAGTCTCCAACATTTGTTTAGTCAAAATGAGTAAACATGCGTCAACGACGATGGATTGAGCTGGTAAATGATTATGACTGTGAGATTCTCTACCATTCAGGAAAGCCAACGTGGTAGCAGACGCTTTGAGCAGAAAAGGGAAAAGTGGTATGATCAAGGATGTAGCAATGAGAATGAACCTATTGCCAGATCTCCACAGTGAAATTTTAAAGTGTCAAGAAGAAGCAGCTAAAGAGGATAATTCCAAGTTTGAAGAAATGGGTAAAATTATCTCCACCCTCAAAAAGAACGACAAGGGAATTTTGTGTTTTCAGGGACGGATCTGGATACCGCGCTATGGGAATATCTGGGAGATTATTTTGGATGAAAACCACAAATCCTGGTATTCATCCTGGTACCAAAAAAATGTATAAAGATTTAAAACCATTTTATTGGTGGCCTGGATTGAAGAATGTTGATCCCAGATCTCTCAATAACACTAATAATTGAGTTAAGAATAACCAAATTATAGTGTTTTAATGAACAAAGCGATGAACACTCAAGAATGAATTATGAACATTAAAGAACAATCTTGAGCGTCAAAGGTTTCACTTTATTAATAAGAAAAACGTAAAAGCGACATTTAATACAATAGGCATAATCACCTATTTATACTAGTAAGCTAATTAAAAGATAACTATCTAGTGAGACTATTTAGCTAATCTTCTATTAACAGATAATGTTTATCTAAGCTATGGATAAGCTTTAATATTAAGATAAACTTGAAATCCAACTGTCTTTCATGGGATGATGAATCAACCTTATCTTCATATCTTCATCGTATGCCTTTGGTTGAATTGCTGAAGAAAACTCTAAGTGTTGTTGACTAGAGGGGCGATGAAGATGCTCTTTCCATCGCATCTTTGGTTGTTCATCGACCCTCTGGTTGTTCTCCAGACTTAGTCAATTCTGCCTTGATGTCTTCATCGGTCTTCTGTTCTTCATCACTTATTGTTTTTCATTACTTTTACCCTTTATGGATTATGGGGTCTAACAATCTCCCCCTAAGTAATGAAAGAACATAAACTAATCTATGAACAAAATTGAAGAACAGAGACTAATCTAAAGAAAAACATCAAATTCCAAATATCCATTGGATGATGAATTCTTACAATACTGGAAACAAAAGACATCATTTTTAAGGCAAAAATTTACAACTCATCATGATCTACCTTGAGATATATCCTAAAGCGTAGAAGCAGTATTCGATAGTCGATGACTGTTGATATCTCATGAATGAGTTGATTCCCATCTTCTCTTGGCACATGGGATCTACCAAGTCTTTTTCTGATGACCTTCTGAAACCACTCAAGTGTATCGGTTGAATACTTGAAGGCTTCAGTCAATCTGAAGAATTTCTTTACCCCGAACTCATTCTTGTAAACAAGTCCAAGCTCGGGTTGAGTTAAGACTGAGGCAGATCTTTTCTCCTGCAGGCCTGGAAAGTCTTCATTTGATGGAGCGCAGGAGAGTCTTTTGATGCCTAAGTGAAGAGCAATTTCAAAATCACTTTTGGCTTGATGGTTTACCAGGGTCTCCATTGTCTTCACAACCGCTTTGTTCGCCATCCCAAATTTGATGCCATGATCCTAACGCTGAGCCGTGTATGCATAAAGTTCGATCAAGTCATAGGGATTGAGGTTGATGAGGACATTTTCGTTGAACACGTTGATTTGTCCATGTGTTCTCTCCACTGTGTACTCGATGTATCTTATGGCTCTATTGGCAAAGGTCCTCACTTTTAGATCCATAAACCTCCTTATCCTATCGTTTGAGAAGACAACCTGTGGTGCTTGGGTGGTCTGTCTAATAAACCTATGGTGTAGGAGGTCCATGGACTCTGACGATAGAATTGAAGGATTGAGGGTCAAACTTTCATCGCGGTCGTGATACAAGTATTGATGGATATTTACCATCATTATGGGTTCCCTGGGTGGCAGCTCTAAACGTCTCCGCAGCGACTCCATGTTCTGAATAATTTCATCGACTAGGCTCTGAGGAGGTTGCCTAGACGAAGAGGGAATATCCGCTTGCACCATGGTTGGTTGGGTTGAGGGTTGTGTATGGGTTGGTGAATGTATGGTTTCTTGTTGGGTTGGTTATGGTTCATTAGGTTCAGAATGGGTGGTTTATGGTTCATGGGGTTCTATTTGGGTTTGAGATTGTTGGGGTGAGGAAGGTTGGATTATTGTTGGTTCTGGTTCATTGGATAAGATGGTGAAGGGTTCTGTGGCGCGAGGGGTTGGTGAAGATGTTAAGGGTAGGTTTGGTGTAGGTGATAGAGTAAAAGGTGGGGAGGTTGGATTTTCATCGGTTGAGGAACTCAACACGATGGGTTCTTGGATAATAGCGAAGGGAACATGTACATTTTGTACATCTTTAGAGGGCTGAGCCTCTGGTTCCCTTGCTTGGGTTCCTTCGGTTGAGGGGTGGTGGTTGTGTTTGTGATGGTGGTGGTGGTGGTGGTGGTGCAGCGGATTTCATTTGCTGAGCAGTCGTGGCCTGTGTCTCTCCCTCATGAGGTCCAAGACCTTGATCATCGGGGCCTGGGTCCTCATGTCGTGGCCTCTTATGTTGGCGGCTGCTGGAGCATGAAGCTCTGCTCCTCTTCTTCTTTTTCTCCTTCCTGAAGGACGTAAGATACACCTTCAGGGCTGCTTGTCTTCGGCTCTCCTCCATCGTGTGAAGGAGAGAAGTGGTGCGCCTTTGTTCATCAGCCAGGTTCTGGGAGAGAACCCTTGTTGGTTGAGTAGCGCGATGGACGAATTTGGCACTTATCTCATTAAAGGATGAGACAAGTGCCTTGGACAGAGCCCTTAGGTCGGCTCTGGTGGTGAACTCCGTGCTTGATGATGAGGCTTGTGGTGGCACGGAGGTGGCGGTGGATATAGATAGAGGAATGGGAAGGTTGGCTATGAGATTTCTCACCTCTGCAGTGAAGGAGGTGAAGGCTTCATCGAAAGATGGGACTGCAGAGGGAGGTGGGGGTGGAGTAGGCTAGGGGACTAGGATTGTGGTAGGGAGTTGGGTGAGGGTGGTTTGTGTGGTGGCCATTTGGTGGGAAAGAGAGGCAAGGGCTTCATCGATTGATGAAGTGGTTTGAGGTGGGGCTTGGGGAGGAATTTGGGAAATGATAGTGGTTGGTAAGGTGTTAAGATTTTAGAGGATGGTGTTTAGTTGGGTGGTTATGTAGGTAAGGTTCTCTTCGGCCTCAGTTGCATGGGCCGTGAGGGTGGCGATGGAGTAGATGAAGATTTGGTTTCTTTGGGTGGCAAGGGAGGATGCGGTGTTGTGGTGTTGGGTGATGCTGGAGCTTTTGGAGACGTGTTGTATTGTCTCTGGTTTGGGTTTCAAGTTGGGAGAGATGTCGGTGTAGGATGGCAAGGGATTGTTGAAGGTCGGTGTTATCGGTTGAGGGTGGGTTGTCAACAATGCCTTGAATGATGAGTTTAAGGTCTTCCAAGGACCGCAGAACTGAGTCGACAAAGGCTTGGAACTCGGCCTTTGTGACTAGATCGGCAATGGGGGGTAACCCCTGCAGCAACAGATGCTGCAGGTTGAGCCTCTACTCCTGAGGCGCCTTCATTGTCTTGTGAAAATGTAGGCCGTGAAGGACTTCCATCGTGTCCTTGATAGCCCTCAAGAGAGGAGCTATCTCGCGATGTTGTTGCATCGGCTTCCTCTTCCTCGGCTTCAGAGACCGGGTAAGTGAAGCGAATGTGTGTCCCCTTCGGTAGATCAAATATCGAAGGGGGATGTGCAGGAAAGGAAGATCGCTCTGAACGATCTTGGGGTGTATCAATGTCAGAAGGGGCCCTTATTTCTTCATCACCTCTCAATTGGGAGAGGGGTGATGGAATATGGGGTTCCTCAGCTGATTCATCTCCAGAGGCCCGAAGAATGGCCTCTGGATGGTTGGCTTGGGTAGGGGTTGGACTGGGTCGTCCTTGTTCAATACCCCTTTGGCTTTGATCGCCAGGGGTAGAGGTGGTGGTTGCCCTTTGGGAAGTGGGTGGAGGAATTGTTTGAGTAGGGCTGGGGGAGGCACGATGAGTAGCATCATCATCATCATCTTCATCATCCGATGAAGATGCCTCTTGTGCTCCCTCGCTTGGTTCTTGGGACGACTCTAATCGCTCTGGGGTAGCTGCCCTCAGTTCCTGGGACAGCATAGAGCGTTCATAGGTTTGGCGGATCTCAGATGTCGATGGAATGACATTGAGCATGGTCCTTGAAAGTGGGCGGTTGATGGTGTAACCCTCCTTCGATAGGGTAGGTCGATGGCCATGCATTTTGTAGACTGGAGTGAAAGGCTCTTCAGCCGGTAGACCATGTTTCCTCATTACGTCCCCAATGAAGAGGGCGAGGAAACGAGGGAATAGAAGAACAGATAAGGGCTTGCCAGCGGCTTGGAGTTTGCATTTCTTGACTACCGCCGAGTGGATCTCATTGTAGATGAGAAAGGCGTAATCAAGGTTGAGGTTGAAGAACAGCCCATACATGATCGTCATGATATTGATGTTCCCTTGGTCCAATGACCCTAGCTTGCATGTGAGGGCCCTATTCAGGATGGAGAAGAACATGTTCTACATTGGCGGGAGGAATTGGCGTTTGAAGTCGGAGACGTTGCGTAGGTCACGATTGTAGCCTAGCATCTTAACGAAACGTAGTATGTCGTCGGTGGTGGGTGGTTCGTCATATTCGGCAATTCCAAGCTCCCGTCGAGTGGGAATGCACAGAACTCAAGAAACTTTAGCCCGCGAAATTTGAGCGAGCAAATCATATCGTTTGGGGCATCCATGTCCCCCATTATTCCATGGCTGTCAGGATGGAACTCATACGTTTGCCAGTACTGTTGGACGTACTTTAGTGGTACGCCGGTGTCCGCAAGGGTCAGGGCTGGTAGTAGGATGCAGTTCTTGAAGAACTCAATCATGACGGCAAACCTGTCGTCGAATAGTGTGTTTCTTAGTTCAATGGCGTGATTGTTTGGTTTCATTGCTAGGAAAACGATGGCGCGGCTATCGGCGTCGATGGATTGAACTCGACTGTCATTGTTGTTTGACTCGTGGGAGGCGGAGGAGGCCATTGCTTGGGGAAGTTGCAGGTATATTTGTTCGTCAAAGGAGATTTACAGGTTTAAGGAAGCGTAAAGAGGAAATGGAGGTAGAAGAAAG